TTGGGGCACCTTGCGGGATAGTGGAACTAGGGTTCTGAAAAACCTCTACCTCGTGGGATGGTCGAACTAGGGTTCTGAAAAACCTCTGTTGGTATTTGTCCAGGTGTTTGTTTAGGGGGCACCGATGGAGGGTCAATGCAGCCGGCTTTCCAAAGCGGAAGAAAACCGGAGCCTCGACCAACAAACCAACTGAACATGTGACCTTCCTGATGCCCATGGTGTCCGACGAACCAATATCAACTCCTAGAACACTGTCACACCCTCACAGTAAATGGTTGCTTAGTTGGAGGCATGGTATAGGGCAAAAAACACGTACTGCCCACCCAGTACACTAGAAACAGGTGACAATCGCACACAAGGCCAGTCAGAGGAACATCAGTGTACTCTATACAAAGCAAGGCCTTCCCAGATATTGTGTCATTGAGCTACAGGCCCCAAGTGTGTTGATCAAATTGAATGGGTGCTAGCCCAGCACCAGTGTCTTCTTTTCAATCCTCAATAGCCTTCAATGACAAATTCAGACTATCTTCCCCACCCTTTCGGTCATTTGCTAGGAAAGTGAGCGCACGTGGCATCTCAATTGAACCCCAAACAAGCGCGGCGTCCCTGTCCGAAGACCAAAGAAAACAAACAAAATCAATCAATCAGTCAGTCAGTCAGTCAGTCAGTCAATCAATCAATCAATCAATCAAACAACCCAACAAACCAAACCAAACCAAAAACACGTCAAGTCAACCCAATCTCGCCGTATCTCGCGTCCAAGCATCCATGGAGCCCCAGGTGGCAGGCGGCCCATCCTCTGGTCTCCAGTTGTTCTACCACTTTTTGCAAGCCTTGATCCAGACTCTCCATCTTCAGCAGCCCAACAGCCTCAAACAGCACCTGGCGCAGCAAGGAGAAATCCGAGGCAAGTCCCGGTTTTTTTGGCGGCAGGTGGTCAAACCATCTTCTAAACATGCTTCATCCCCGAAGGCTGGTTTCCGCCGTTGCCTCCCCAGGTGTCTCTCCACGGTGTCGACCGATCCGAACCGATCCGCGGGTCGCAACGGTGTTCTTCACACCGAGCCACCGGTGCCACGGTGGCAACTTCGGGTCTCCCCATCTCGGGTCAAGAAACCGGTATACCCATCCCATGCACATCGGATTCATCATGATTCATCCATCTTCATCCCACACGAAAACTCCACATCCCAGACTCTCAACTCCCAAAATTCGAGACGCCTCAGCGGGCATCCGCCTCATCCGCTGCATCCGCTCCATGGCCTGTCAGAAACCCAGGTTCCGCAGCCGCGAGAGAGGTCGCAGGAGAACCGTTTCGCCTTTGAGCGGTCGAACATGCCACACCACGTCTCCTAGATCAACGAAAGCATCGAACCTGAAAACATGTTACATGCCTATGAAAATCATATGAAGTCATGTATATATATATTGCAACTCCATCCGATGACCCAACGCGCCTCTTTGCTGGGCCGCCGCTGGAGTAAGCTGAAGAGGCTCGGGCGCAGCTGCCTGGCTTTGGGAGTCCGGCATCGTTTTGGACTCGAAAAACCTTTTGGAGGCCAGCGCCGTTTTGGTCTGAAATAACCGTGGAATGGGGGATGGATGGATTAGTGGCGAGCCATGGCCGCTCCACTTCTTTCAGCCGCTGTTGAGGACTTAGTGGACTTGGCCGGAAACCTTTGACCTTCGTCGGGTGCCACGGCTCCCCTACCCAAGTCCCGAAACCTGAAAAGGGGTTGTGAAGCGACTCGGGCGCTCAGAATCGGGCGCTCCACTCCACTCCACTCCTCCTTCGCTCCTTCACTCCCTCGTTCACTCCATTCCTTCCGCCGTCGTCTTCACCGGACACCCATGGACCCGCCTGGGCGGAATCCAAACGCCCTGCCGCAGCGACTCCCGTACCGTGTCGATGGAGACCACCTCGGCGACACCGGGGGTGGCGACCGCTACTCCGGTGGTGGCGACCATCGGGCGACCGATGCTGAGAACGATCACATCTGTCTGCAGCCCTTGGGTTGCCTTCGTTTCTGTTTGTTTGACCGGACCCCTGGCCTACATGAACACAAAACCATCATCACCTCGTGACAATCCGAACAAACGCATGGCTTCAACGCACCCCCAGCTCACCGGTGGCTCACCCGTCACCCACCGGGCTCTGACCGAGCGACCCGCTCCACCGGGCGCCCCGAGCCGAGCCGGTCTCCAGCTGCGACTGCACCTCCTCGTCGCTCAGGAAGGCCGCGCGCTCCAGCAGCTCCTCCGGGGGGTCCGGCGGAGTCGAACGTACCGGCGGCGTGGGGTCCAAAGCCTTTGCGTCCTGGACGGCGTGGGAAAAGGAAGGATGATGAAGGATGGAAAGGTTCTTTTGGGGGATCCAGGATAGACTTTTAGACTACATTTATATACATTCAATTATATAAGTACCCTAGAAGTCCAAAGACTATATTTTGACCGGCTGAAGTAAAGGAAGTTCCCTTTCAGGTCCCCTAAAGACCATTCTTTTTATAGTCTTTGACTCCCAGGGAGTATACAGTATACTATATGTAAAACCCATGATGATCCATGCCTCCGCTGGACGACTATGCGCTTGTGGCGCTGCAGTGCCCAAACAAATCCAAAGGAGAAATCGAGCAACCTTTAATCGGGGTGATCGATCGAGAATGTGGTGTTGTGGGGGCCTAGGGCGGGACTCCCATCACCTGGCCACACATCATGAATCGATCCTGGCAGTTCAATTTGGTTTGTTGTTGCACCCTGTTGGTATGTCGTTGGCTGTTGGCCCGATCGATGGACCAACGAGTTGGCTTATTGGCAAACCAGACCAGGACACCACGATTGACTCCTTAAAATGAGTTCGATCCCTTGACTATGGGATGTCAATCACCCATGGTTTGGTGGTGTTTTGACTCACTGCCACAGCCATATTGTAGATGCTGAGAAGTGCGAGAGGTCATCAAAGCATCCCACTTCTCGAGGAACCCCCCATATTGAGCTGTTGTGCCCGGCGTGACCAGGTACCTTTCGTAGCAACGAAGAGGTAAGGAACCTGGCTGAAGCGACCAAGGATAGGGGGCCAATGAACAGTGACCAAGGAACAGCTCACAGTTAGGTCCTTGAGCTTCTCTTGTTGCGTGGTCTTGTCCGAATACTTCAAGTATTCGTCCCGGGCCTGGCTGGCAGAAGGAGCAGCTCCAGCTGTTCCAGGCTCGCTGGCAGTAAAGACCACTGTAGAACTCGCACGAAGCAGTGGCAAGTTGGCACTGAAGAGAATCGCAAGCTCTTTCTTTCGACAGGAAGCACCGATCGACTTCCATCCGACTCGACTTTGGAGTCTATCCGACATCGCATCCAACACGATGCCAATCATCCACCGGATCCGGTCGACCCCCTGGGAAGGAGTCCTTTTGGTCTGGGCCACCTGCAGTCTTTGGCAAGGCGGTTTCGGCCGACAGTCTTTGCCACCCTGTTAGGGAAGGGAGGAGATCCGACAGAACTGAGAACATATGCGACAACCGAGATCAGCTGTTTTCTTTCAGGTTTTGTGTGTTGCTACAAGTCCAAATACTCTCATGAAGTTCCACCCGGTGCTCCAACCTGTAGGACTTTGCTTGCATGAAACCGAACTGCTGGATCTCTTTGGCCCCGCCCTGCTGGAATTCGGCAAGCTGATCCTAGAAGAAAGGATGTGCCTGGCACAACGATGTGTGCTGCACAGTCGCCACAGCTTCTTCTCCGTCTGAGAAGCGGAAGCACAGCTAGCTGAGAGAAAGATATACATGGAGTTAGTGCTGCAAGCGCTCATAAGTTGTGGCTGCTCAGCATTGCTCGTTCTTGATCGAACCCATTGAAACTCAATGTCCATCCATTGCTTCTGCTTCTCAAGGACCAGAAGACCTATATTGAAACTCAAGCATCCAAATCCTCGGCCCACGCCACGTTGCCAGTCTTTCAGCGGCCCACGCGGTACATGGCGCCATGGCGCAACCCACTCCCCGCGACTCGATGGATCCGTGGCTCATTTGGATGACCGCCTCGCGCGGCGCTCCAGGGCGCGAGAGGGGGGATCGGAGAGACCGATGATGTGCGGGTGTAGGAACCGTAAAAGGGACCCAAGGTGGCCAGATGCTTCGAAGAAGTGTGGGGCGTCCACCCACATTCCAACAAAAAGTTGAAAGATTTATATACTATCCGGGACTATCACTTAGAATTCAACTTAAGGAATTGGGAATGTAGTTAGAATATGAAAAAGTAATTCGGAGCTTCGATGCACTTAGAATTTGCACCAATGCACTTAGAATATAAAGAGACAGGCAGAGCAAGAGCGATACATCTTTAGCTTCTCGATGTGTCTCTTTTAATGACAAGGTGTCAAAAATTAATAGCAGTGAGGCAGGAGCAGTCTAAGTACAGCCTGCCAGGAAGGTGGTAGTGGAGAGATGACAACGGGCACAAGAGAAAATGAAAGAAGAAGAAACGAAGACCACCAAATGTTGATCCCTCACCTCCCACCCTCTAACCCATCCTCTAACCCACCCTCTAACCCACCCATGCCACACCATCCCACGCCTCTGTTGATCTTGCAGAGCTGCCACCTGAGTCTTCAGCCCCTGAAGCTCCGTCAAGACCTGCCGGGATCGGTCGACCGGTCGACCGCCGGAGCGGGAGACCCGGTCGAGTGGCGGTGTGGGCGGCATGAGAAAGCAACGGGTGTCCCTACGAATGGACGGCGCATCTGCGCATAGCAATGCTTCATATCGCCCTGGTCCATTTTTTTGGTCTGAACATGCGCTAAACGATTGGTCTGAACATGCTACAGGCCTTTCACCTTCGAACTATGCAGTACATCGTCCACCCAGACGTCCTTTCACCGCATCCGGCAAAACTCGCCTCCCCACCCGAGCTGATCTGCTGACAACTCTCCTCCCCAACCCAACTCTCTCCGCTTCTCTGGACGCTTCTGCTGCGGACGCGGATGCGGTGGGGGGGCACCTCCTTCTGCAGCATCACCAGGCGCCCCAGATCCGCCTCCAACTGCTGAAACTTTGACTCCTCGGACGTGCTCGGTTTCACCGGGTGAAGTCAGACAGCGAACTGGGACGTCGGACGTCGGGCAGATGTTGGCGGGGGAGACCTCCCAAACAAGACCAGTTCGGGCATGTGATGGAGTCTCAGCAGGTTCTACATGGAATCTCATTTGCTCGAGCTACTGTCTTCAACAGCAACCACTTGGAAGCCCCTCAGCATGTCCTGGCTCGGCAACAATCCCCGTCTTCCAAAACGGCGCATTCTCTTGTCACTTGTTCATGTCCACTTCGCCTTCGCCCCTCCGCGGCGGACCGAGTGCTTCGTTTCACGACAGAACCGTAGACAGCCGCGACCCGAGCAGCCGCCGCGACCGCCGAAACAGGGACGGGACTCGCAGTGTTTCACCCGGTCGTTGCCCTCCAAGGGTCGTTGCCTTTCAAGGCCGAAGAGCCAAAGACCTCTGCGAAACCAGAGGAGATGATACCTGCGTCACTGGAGGGGAGAGTCAGACACGCGCGGTCAGGCTGAAGGCCGACACGCATCTGCTGTTGGTCACTTGATCTGCAATCCCCTAGGCGCATCTGGATCTTCCTAGAATTCATCCTCTGCAATCCCGAGCTGCTTCAGACACTGGACACCCAAAATGACTTGTGACATCTTGCGACACCTACCAAATCCTACAAATACCTATTACATCCTATTACCCTATAGTAGACCCCTCCACTCCGCCTACACCCCTAAGCTTTTCCAATCGCCACGCTGCCTGCGGGCAATCCGAAGAGCCCCACCCCGGCGAAGGCCACCACCGAGCCCAGCGCGCGGCCCGCGGGGGTGATGGGAACGATGTCGCCGTAGCCCACCTTCCAAGGGGTCACCAATGGAAGCCCACACACTACTGAGAGATCTCCATTCCAAGGGGTGTCCAGGTATAAACTTTTGTACGTGTTAGTGCCCCCAAACGGACACAGCACGCACACACAAAAACCGCTTACAACCAACGCCAAGCCGCGGTGGTTAAGGTCTCAGTGCCCCACCACATGGAGGACAGGATGCTCTCGAACTTCTCGTTCACACCTAGCGCACGCGGCCGACCGCACACGCGGCCGCGTGAACGAGATGATATTCTTCAAGGCGACAGGCGAACGCCGCAGCGGGAGAAACACCAGATCAGTCAGCGCCCGAGTACCAGGTCACATGCCAACGGAAAATCCCACAACCGTCGACTCCCACCTGACTCCACATAGTACATCAAGGTGGAGGAGATCAACAGCAGCAACCCGGCGATGCCCAGCGTGGCGCCGAGCTCGGTGCGCTTGTTCGAGACCACCAGCAGGATGGGCGAGAAGAACTTATGCTTTCGCTCGAGGCGGAAGAGCGTGAAGAGCCGCAAGAGCCGCAGGGAGACCACACCCCTCAAGGGCGAGAGAAGGAAAGGCAGAAGCATTCTGTACGGGAGGAGCGAAAAGGATTGCCATGGATTGCCATGTATTGCTGTACCCAAAGTGAAAAGGATTGCCATCTATTACGGAGTTTCTACTCCGAAACAGGCACACCAGGGGGTCGGGGTCGACGCCTGTTCAAATTGTGTGATGGTTGGTTGCTGTGCCGCCTTCTTCTTTCTCTGCTCCTCCTTTGCTCCTTCTGCTCCCTGCTTCCTCTTCATTGCTGCGGTCTGCAAGTTTGCTGTTTGGTGCTGTGGTCTTCATGGTGGTTAGCTGCTGTGCTCCAAGTGTGAAGAAATCCGCGTACAACACCCACTGGCTCGCGTCACCTTTGACGTCACCCACGATGTCACCCCAAAACCCACGCCTCGGCTCTCCACCCCAAATCCGTTTCCCCAATCCGTTTCGGGCGACGCAAAGGAAAAGGGCCACGTTCGGCCTGAAGACGTTGGAGGTGATGCACACGTCCAGATACAGCGAGATCAGCGAGATCGCATCGATCACCGAGGCCATCGAGCACATCAACCAGATCCGGGTCCTACAGCGCGCCACGGGCGACATGTACTCGACTTCTGGCTCGGACTCCACACAGCTATAGAGGCGCCTGGGTGCAGGTGCCAAGCGAATGGGGCAAATGCGCTGAGCCACAGCGAATGGTAGAAAATCCCTGATGCTGGAGGATGCACTAAACCATTGGTAATCACTTCCATGTTGATCCATTTTGATGCATTTGGGTCGTAGCTCAGGCTTCAAAGTTCTCTCCGAGGCACAAGACATATTCGACGGTGAAGACAATCGTGGCGCACACCTCCATGGTGTGGTAGAAGTTCGTCGTTTGCTGGCTCATGGTGCGGCTGTCCACAATAAACCTCACTGATCACCAGCTGATTGGTGTAGAAAGCCCCAAGCAAGAACCCCCAAGACGCACCGACGCACCGAAACCCTCAAGCCCCCCCTGTTGGCCGCTCCACACACCTTCCCCCCCCCCAGTTCGACTCTCAGGACCCGGTTTCGCTCCTCGGGTGACTCGGTCCAGGTTTCGCTCCCCCGGTGACACGCGTCGGACGAGCGAAAATCCAGGGAGAAGGTGTGAAGGGTCTGAAGGGGTGGCCTTCATCATGAGATGAAGCATGATGAAGCATGATGAAGATATCCAACGTCCCCAGTTTCAACAGATGAATTCGATCCTCTTCCATCACAGTCAAATCGCTCGCTCGCTCGCTCCCCGTCGCTGCTGACCTTCCATCGCGCGACGCTCGGCCAGGCGGCAAGACCACGATCAAGGCCGAGGTGAAGAGAGCGTAGAGGAGTGACATCCACTGCAGCCAGGGCGGCGCGATGCTCGAACTCTCCAAGAACCTCGGATGGAAAAGGAGTGGAGAAAAGGCGGCGGATCGAACTCTTTTTCAGGCTGCGGAGCTAGGACCCTTCTGAAGCTGAAAAAGGACCCTTCAGTGATGTTTGAAAGCCTGTATGTCAGCTGCCAGCATCAAAGGCATGCTCGGAGCAAATATGGGAAACCAATGGAAACCAAAATGCAAATGGAATGAAAGGACTCGTGTGGTCTTGAATAAGTTTCCATGTGACAGCTCTTTCCTTTGGGATTCACAATTGGAGCCTGTGTGAGATACCCAGCTCCCAATCCATGTCCTAGCTGCTGGCTAGGCATCAACAAGCTTAATAATCTCAATAAAGCTTAATGGTAGCCTGATGTATATAGCCTGCATCCAGGAAAGAAACAAACACACAAAGCACGAGGGGTACAGCGAACACACCGTGTACTTCGCTTGGCCCATTGGAGGTATCAACGCTGTTGATTTCCGCACCGATCAACTGCTTCACCTTCAAGGCTCACGCTTCCATCTCTCTACACCAGCTCTAGGATCAAAGCTCTCCCATCTGCCATCCATGCCATCTAGGGCACCACCAAATGGCCCTCCTCCGCGTCAGTGCTTCGATCCGCACCGAGGTCGACTCGTTCAGCAGCCCCGGCGCCGAGATCGACGCCGACAGCGACGGCGTCAGCGGCGCCGCGTGCATCGGCGACAGCTCCACGGAGACCGAGCCGCGGCGCGCGGCGCAGTCGCGCGGCAGCTTGGGGCGCATCCATATGCGCCCGCGGGTGAAGTTGGAACGTGGACCGGTGCGGGGGGGTAGACTTGGACTTTGGAGGTCTACAGCGGGTTGGTTGATTTTCTAGTTTGGAGGTGAAGTTATAGATGAGCGGGTGCAGAAAATATGCTTGAAGGGAAGCACCTGGAAGTAGAAATGGATCTAAACAAGTCGATGGAGGATTCTTGAGCAGCTCCTGCGAAGCCCTTTTGGCATCGAGCACATCATCATCACAAACTAGCCGCTTTTCGAGCCAGGGCACGAACATAGCCGAACAACAAAGACCAAAACCTTGCAAAAAGGGTGTGAAACCCGACTCCTCTACGTCTGTGCTGTACATGTTTTCTGGTCAGGAATGGTCAGGATCATTCCTTGGCAATTCCCGGTGACCTGCCTCCAAGTGGAAGGAGGCGGGAACCACCTCGAGCCGCAGGTCAAGAGCTAAAGCATGCTAAAGCTCTCTCATGCCATGATGTTTGTGAATGATGTGGAATATTGCACTCGTGTGGATCTCAGCACCCGTATGTTGTCAAGTTTGTGTATCTACACCCATGACAACACTCACTCACAGTCAAAAAGCAAAGAACAAAACAGCCCCAACAGAAGAGCCCTCTTCTCCCAGCCCTGCCCTTGGTCGTCGTGTGTTTTTCTCGGTTGTGTGGGTCAGCCCACCAGCTCGCCCCCGAAGCGCACGGCAGGGAAGTTGCCCAAGTGATGGTACCTGGCGCGGGTCGAAGACCACGGGGAAGAGGAGGGGCAACCATACCATGAGACAAAACATGACAAAACAACACCTGTTCAAGCCATCCGTGTCCAGCTAATTATAGTGACAAATACATAACACCAGGTAGATCTTATTTGTGATCAGGGACCCTGATAGCCTTTTCATCTTGAGTTTGCCACCCACCTTTTGCACTTCTCCACTGACTGGTGCATACCAAATTAGACGGAGAACAAAGCAAACAAACCCAAAAAACACCGCATCTGCTGGTGAGTGGTGAGATACCCTGCTTCTTCGCTTCAATAAGGCCCCAACTTGCGCCACAAGCGCTCGAAGTGGGTCGCCGGATAGTGGAGCACCTGGCAGGCTCGCGACGATCGATTCAGATGAGACCCACCGGAAGGGGGGAAAAGCTTCTGGGAGCGGCCCGATGTGAGGCTTGACGATTCTGCTGCGTTCACAGGGCGACAGAGCCCGTGCCACGGTCGAGGCGTGGGAACATCAGATGGGTCGCCCAACGAAACCGGCGAGCGACGGCGACCGGGGCGAAACCGCGAAACGACGGTCGATGCAAAGGAGGTCCGTGGAGAACAAAACACCGCGTCCTAACCTACTCCTCTGCAGGAGAGAGCCCTCCCGGGACCACGGGGTTGGAAGCTCCCAGAAGCTCCAGAGCTGGTGACCTCGATCTAGCAGCCTGGTCCGGATGTCCTTCAGTCCGTTGAAGGTGACGGGTGAAGAAAGACTTGAAAACAACGGACATCTGCTGCCCTACCCCGTTCGTTCGTCTACTTCCTTTGCTTCTCTACTTCCAATTTCATTTCCACAGCTGCACCGCAACCACCTGCTCACCAGCCCTTCCACCCCCCACCCGGGCCCGGGTAGATGCACGCACCTTGGCACCAACGACTATCTCATCATGGCATGCTTTCATCCAGGTGAGGTTCATCTCCTGCATCAGATGGAGCCGAGTCCCGTCCGGTCTGCGGACGGCCGTCCGCCCACGACCAGCGAACTGGGACGCGGACGGCCTGAACGAGGCGCTCCGACTGAACGAGGGCTGGGGAGTCAGATGGAGAATTGATCATGACAGTTCCTTGCCTCCTGAGCGGCTGGCAGAAAGATGTCACTGGAACCCACCGATTGATTTGGCTACAGAAGCTGGATGGGTAGGGCGCCCCAAAGGCAAGAGGGTGGCTCTTAGCGTTGGGGGAAGCCAATCACTTGGATTCACTTGGTGGATTTTGCTGGGCAACCTTCCCGAATAAAAACCAAGTTGCAAGTGCACAATCTGAGGACCCCAGCAGACAACTCGTGCTCGGCGAAGGTGGTCCAACCCATGTTCCCCACAATGAATTCCTGCGGGAATTAGGACGGCTCGGATGGTGTTGGCCGGAAGCTCCTTGCCCCCCCCGTGGCTCTGCGGGAAGCTAAAGGTTGATTCCTTTTTGTGTGGTTCGTGATTGGGCAAAAGAAGGTGGACTCTCTTGCATTCTCTTTTCAGAAATGGTGGATCCACCCAATGTCTTAGGTCCTATACCTAAAGTTGGTGTCCATGGTTTGGATACCTTTGGGAACCACTGTTCTGTTTTGATGCGATTGGCGCAAACTGGTATCGATTCAACATTACTTTAATGCACCTGTTCGCTGCCAAGTGGGTACGCAATCATTCTTCCACCAAATTCCCCACAATTCAGTTCCTTCTATCATCCAACCTCGTCAAAGGTCTTGGAGGCCTTTTTGCTTGGCGCTCTTGACGCGCTTGACGGTGCATGCACGCGCCTTGAAGTTGTTGGGTGGGTAAAGCACATGAACCTCAGAGAAGAACCGTCCGACGTACCCTCCGATCGTTGGTGGAAGTCTTTCAGCATGTGGCAGTCAGGAATTCCAGCTGCTGGGCCTGCTGGGAGGCTGGTGGAAACGTGGCTGAGGCCTGGAATCATCCATGTTTTTTGTCTGTCAGAAACTCCATGGAGTCTAAATCAAATTCCTTCTTCTAGATTAAAATGCAGAGACTGACCCCCATCCTCCACACTATTGGCTTGGACTTGGCTCTCCCGCAGAGGTGGGTGCGATATCTTCAGAGCCTGGCCAGTCACCGCCATCTGTCCAAGGGGTCCCGTCTTCTCAACAAGACACGTTCACATAAGACATGTTCGCCTACAACCATGCACTGTCCCGAAGCTTCCTTGACGCCGTCCGCCGCCAGTCGAACTGTCGACCGGTCGAGCCGGACTCGGACCGAGCTGCACACCGGACGGACGATCTTCGTTAAAATCCAAACAGGCCCTCCATGGCAGAGGTCGGACCCGACCTCTTAGCAGGGGTCTGAAGTCTCTATGAAGTCCAAGGGTTCATGTTCCGTTCGCTGGGTCGGATCTCCACCCCCCAAAAAAAACCGAACCGGTCACGCGTGTTTGTCACGCGGGAAACCGAACGCGGCGAGACGCCACGCCTTGCGCCGGGATCTTCACGGCACTTTTGCCATTGTCATAGTAGAGGAAGTAGTTGTGGGCCTGACGATGGACTGGGGCGCCAGAACGAGGCGATAGACTGAAGGGAAGGGAGGTCGCTCCGCACCACGGGCCCGACGATCTCCGTTCCTTCGGAGACAGCCCCGTTTTTCCTTTGGCCCTGCTTTTTTCAGAAACAACTAGAAAGACCTCCTTTTGGAGAAGACCAAGGGAATTCGAGAGAAACTTTTCGTCACGACAAGTCCATGATTGGAGGCAGGGGACCTGAAAACATCTCGAACAAATGAACTTTGAAGATCTTTGAAGGCTCCAAAGCATCTCGAATCCCTTCACCCCCCCCCGATCGACCGGTTCGTACCCATGCCCCTGTCAGTGCCCCCGTCACCCCGTCGGCTTCCGCGATGCACGTCGGTGTTGCACCGTGGCATTTGGGGACACTCCAGGCCGAAAAGAATGCAAAAACCTGCCTGGACTGCATTATGATAACGAACGAATGAACGAAGATATGAGATTACGCCGGAGGTCACCCGGCGTTCAAGATTCCCAGGTGTCCTCAGTGTTGCACTTTACATCATTTTCTCAAACCTACCTGACAGTCATAATCCACCACCTACCCTGGATGATCAAATGAGTCATGACTGGTGATCTCAGAGATTGGTTCATGTCTCTTCCACCCCAGGCCCAGGCCCAGGGCGTCGCCGTACCGCCATGCCCCGCGTAGCCTTCGTGCGTTGGGCCCAAAACTCCATTCCAGCTGCGCCCAACCTTGGGGAAGACCCGGGTCGAAGCCGGGACGAGAAAGTGGACCACCGCCACCCAAAGGCCTAAAGGGTGATGGTTGGATGGAAAATAGAAGGTCGAAAGAGAAAAAAGACATGGGTGGTGTTGGGATTAACAGTTGAGATAGAAAATATATGGACCAAATCGCTGGTACTTTTACGGTTTCATCCTACCAGCCAACGAGAGGTGGCGGGGTTGTTCTTGTTGGAAGATCACTTAGAGGCCAGTGAGAGAAGGTGTTTATGCGCGTCGCTCCTGGATTTTGTCAGTCCTGTTCGGCTGCAAGCTGGCGACGAAACAGGCCACGAGCAGGCAACTTAACAGCGCTACCGTGAGGCAAGCACTGAAAAGATCTAAAAATGCAGTCGACAAGCACACCTTAGGTGTGAAACTTGTCTTCGATCCACGCGAGAAACGCAACAGAATCCTCAGCATCTCACAGCTCCACGTAGGCGTGACTGAGGGCTGTATGTGTGACCTTCTGACACTCTGAAGGCCTTCCTTCAAAGGCTTGCAGAAGGAAGTCTGGCACTGGATGTCCTTCAGGTTTGCACTCACTGAAAGGCATATAATTATCGGGTACACCCCTTTCAGTGGTATTATGAGCTGCATCCTCAGATTTGTGAGCCCCCTGTCGTCCCCTATCGGATAGGCCCTATCGTGTTCCAATGTTCTGGAACCTTGTTAAAGGGTATCTTTCTTGTGTGAGTGCCGTGTCGTTTGCCAGGGTTTGGAGCATGTCAGCATATGGCTGTGGGTCAAAACCAGGATACCTTGGATGACCACAAAAAATGAACAGAATGGATGGATACTATTACAGTACTAGGGAGGTCAACCTACCAGGAATTCGCTCTGGCTTTTGACCCGCAGCCATCATAATCATCGCAAAATTTAAAGGCACTTCATATACTATTTTACTATTCTTGTTGCTCTGAATCCTTTTTTGCTCTTTTCCATGACAGCAGTTCATGGATCATCTAGTTTGCGAATGTTGGCGTTTGCATCCGCTCCTTCAGCAAAGTCCGCCGCCCTCCACCCCCGGGCGCTCTGTGGCTCCACCCGCGCGCCCAAAGCCACCAGCGCAGCAGCACCTTCGTACTGCGAGGTGAGCATGGCCAGCATCAGCGGGGTTCCACCATGCCCACCGTGGTAAATCATCTTGGTGCACAAGGTCTGCTTCCCAAACTTCCGTTGGATCGCTTTTTGGACGGAGAGCAGCCCCAGACCTGTCCCGGCCCCACCAGGTGAAGCTCTGATCATTCACATCTGCACGAAAATCCACCAAGCGCTGCACAAGCTCTGCAGAGCCTCCATGGATCATTGCACAATGGAGGGCGCACGTCATATCAATGCCGTCTCCTCCAGCTTGCTGGAGGAACTCCTCAACCTTACTTCAAAAGCAAGGCTGTTGGAAAAAAATGATGTGAAAATGGTTTGTAGCTGCCAAAGTGGCCGGCAATACAGACTGTGTTTAGATATATATATATATATATGTATATATATTATATGTAACAATGAAATCCAGTACGTATGTATCCTGCATATTATATTGCAAATAGTCGTATGTGTCATGTCATCATAAAAACAAAAAAAACAAGCTCCCAGGAAAACAGCCAGTGGATTCTAGCCACAATCTTAGTCGACTGGCCCAGAAACTGCCTGAATCGTGCCATGCGCACACGCAGTGTCAAAGGCATTGGCGCCCAGCAGGTTCCGATGGTGAAGGCTGCAACGGGCCTCGCACAAGGTGCGGATGCCTTCAGCACTGTCAGCCAGCGCGGCGGCGATCAAAGGGGTACCTGAGCAGGTTTTCTTGCCAGAAAAGAAGGAAACATGCAGGAATCGATTCACGATTTTAGACTCCATTCCCAACATAGCAAGATACAAAAGATTACAAAAGGGACTAAAACATGCACTAAGACTTCTGAAGAGATGTCTTTGGGCAAAAACTCTCAATTGCCCCCATACCGCCCAACAAAAAACAACCGCATCATGTCCAGTTACAAAGACTCACTCTGCCTCCAGTCAGTGATGCCTTCGCAGAAATCAGCAGCTGTGTGGCCTCATACTGCCGGAAGTAGACACAAATGGCCAGGGCCGACGTGAACTGTGGTAGCCCCACCAATGGTTGGTCTTTCGTGGTCTTGAGATTGGGATTCGCTCTCAAAGCCAAGCCTTGAAGCACTTGCGCAGACCCACTGAGGCAAGCATAGTGTAAGGGCAACCATCCTGCTGAGTCCCTTTGGAAGATGGAGGTGAAGCCATTCTGATGCATGAACTCTTCCACGGTATCAAACTCTTCATCTCCACTGGAGGGTATTGGCTTGCAAAAGTCCTTGACTCCCAATCCTCTCAAGTAAACACTCTGCTGGTTGAACACAACACGGATCCGTCACATACTCCTGACCAGCGACAGCAGCGACATTGCGCCGTAGTAGCGACCGGGCAGAATAGCATCAGAGCGACCTTTTCTCGGTCCGCAGCCAAGGAGAAGTCCCCTTCACCCGCGGGCTCCGCTCCCCATGGAGGCCGACGGGCACGAAATCAACCTCAGACCGTCTGGCGGTATCGCGTGGGAACCGGTGAGGGGCGCCATGAACCGGAGGTTCTCGACCTCAAATGGCCTGAAAACAAGCATCCTTGCAATTGCTGATCAAGCAAACAGTCAAATGGCGAATTACGGCTAATAGTCGACATCATCATGAAAAAGCAAATGTACAGCACCGGGGACAAACACTTCTCATCCAAATGCTCACCGGTCCTTCACAAACCGCCCCTCTCTGGTGGAACACTAAGATACACCAAGAGAGCTAGGATGATCGACTGCCGCCATCTGCCTTCCATTTGACCTTGCATCTGTATGTCTTACACTTTCTCCCCCGGTGTTCAACTCGACGGGTTTGTCATCCAAGAGGCTCCAAAGTCATAGGACCCTTGATCACCACCCAGGAATGGTTCGGACCGAGTTCACAGCAGGCCCTCTCTAAGCGGCACCACCTCTCTGAGCCCAAGTGGAGGGCGAAAACACCTTCGAGATGTTGGCATTCTCAATCACGGGGCAAAGGACAAAGAAGAACGCACATTCGGCGACGTAGGCAGGGATGCTTTCAACAGCTTTGGAGAGTTCACTGGGCTTCTCGCTTTGCAGAGAACAACTTTCCAGTTGTGGGCATGAGAAGTAGTCATACCATATGAAGAGAGGTCTGGACACGAGTTCTGATGTTCGCATGTCTTTGGTTCCTGGTAGCACTATCTCCGTGATGATGTCCAAGGGGATATGCTGCAGGTCAGACGTTGCATACTTCAGAGCAGCTTGTAAGACACGCATCTGCTGCTGCTTGAACTCCGGATCGGGATGGTAGAGGCCAACCCACTGATGCGAAACAAGTGCAGCATTCCCCATGCTCTGATGGAAAGCTACAAGGATGCCCTTGGCCTTTAGCTCTTCATGGGGTTCGATCTCTGTCATCAACAATAGCTCCCTCAACGGCACTGTGTACATGGGGAATAGCATTGGACTGGCTTCGGCCTCTTCGCTTGACTGCAGCGATTTGGCAAAGGACTGCAGCGCAGGACTGGAGCGGCCGCGGCATGCCATGGCAACCTGCGGTTTTAACGGACGCAGCCCAGCTCCCGTGGCAATCTACCTGCCAGCTCGGTGAGACTGTGCTGCGGCGTTCGTTCGCCAAGTTGCCAAGTGGATCAAATTCAACAGTGAAACATCGCTTTGCCGCAAGGAATTCCTGTCCGGTGCCGGTGTGTGTAATCGGCACCAGGTCTAACTCATGTTCACTACCAACAGCAAGAACCGGCTGAGCACAATTCCATCAGACCATCCTACTAGTACATACATACATGCAGTATGTTTTGTTTTCCAGTGCGCAAGTCTCTAGCACATCCCTGCACTTCTCCAGCGCATCCTGGAGCTCAAACAAGTCGTCAGGATCTCAAAACACGAAACCTTCGGCTCCGCGCGGTGTCTTGCTCACTCGACCACTGGGGACCTGTCCCCGACACGATGACTTGTAGCGGCGCAGATAGATCGCGGGAACGACCACGCAGTTTCGGTGAGGCCAATGGCTCTCTCAACGCAAGACCTTTTGGCCCAAAAGACTTAGAAGGAAGATTATACCGGCATAGACCCCAGATAGCACTTCAAGAACCCCTATAGCTTCGCTATCTGGGGAAAAAGAACAGAACAGCCGATTAAATCATAAGGGATGCCTTCCAACAGTATTTGTTTTTTCGCTTCCTCCGTCATCCTCAGCCTCAACCTCCGCTTGTTCACGGCCATGTTGTCGCCCCGAACCGTTCGCACCGTTAGGCCACCTGTTTCAGACCGGTTTGGCCGGTTTGCCATGTCACTCGGACCTTCAAAACCTCCCCGGGCTGTTTGAACCGCTGCCAGACCTTGAAGTAGCTCACGTCCAGGAAAGGTGTCAAGGTGTGGCTTTGTGGTGCTGCCTCAAAGTTCTGGTAAAGACACAAGCCTCGGCCGTACCGCGGTGGCCGTCCAGCGGAGTCGATGGAAAGAAACCCGGCCAAGTCCTGGGGGTGGTCAATGGAAGCCCTTAGTCCTTGGGAGTGGTTCCAACAAATGCTACTTGACTAGGCCCTCTCAGGTCTTCTTCGGGGTGTGTACTTGAGCATGGGTTTGGTCTATTTTCCTTCTTCCAGCGTCTTTGGGAGTCGGTCTGCCTATACTTGTAGGAGAGAGCAGGGCGTCACATCAGACCGAGGAGAAGCACAGCTTGCCACGTCGAAAGCACAGCTTCCCCTCTTCCACCTGAAAACCCACCGCGCCATCAGCACGACGCGCGCGCTGATGGCGCTGGGCATCCCAGAACTGGGTCCCCCAGCGGCAGTTCCCAGCTTCCAAGTGCTGGAAATGAGCCTCGCAGCCCCAGCTGCTTGGGCATTTGGCCAGAAAAGGCTGATTGCTTCAGCTGCTCCGTCGCGAGAAAGCCTTGATTTCAAGCAGCCTACGATTCTACGATCCTGTCTTTTTGGGCTTTGAACCTACTCCCTGGCACTCCCTGGTGCCAATCAGTGTTTGTTAGGTCATCACCTGGTTCTGGGGAGGGTCCGCTCAGGCGCAAAAAAATGCGTCAGATCTTCACTTGGATGGACCAACCTTTCCCACGTTCGCAATGCTGCTTGAGTCAGCAAGTCAGGCATGAAATGTCCACAATAATTGGGGAAACAATAACAAGATATAACAAGGAAAACATAGTCTGCCTTCAAACACCAGAAGATGCTAGAAAATGAGATTCATCATAAAACCAAGAAAACCCGCTCTCCTCCATGTCAAGACACCCCCCCACCCAACCTCGCAACCAAACATATACCAAACGTCCATCGCTTCATTTCTCATCGCCTGCAGCCCGTGCGGTGGCGGTAGGAAGAGCTCGTCATGGTCCAAGTGGAACATCCAATCCACCGCCTGGATCGGCCGCGGAGTTCCCCCGCACGATCCGCGGAGTTCGGGTCACAAAGGGTCGGGACGCTGCTGGCAAGGCCCAGCTCGAAAGCTCTCGCAGTCTCCAGAACTGGAGACAGCTCTTGGCTGGCCAAGGTCATCTTCCACTTCCAGTGGAAAAAAAAATGAAGTTTCGGAATGCATCCGAAGTGCCAAATTCCTTCTTTCCCTCGCCCTCGCCTCATCTGGTTCTCGAGCTCGCTTCAAGGCATGCGCAATGTTCAGAAGCTGCCTGACCACGTCCAGCAGTGCCCACAGACTTGGATTCCTTTGGGTTCCGGATGTCTTTCAACGCGCCTCATGGCCCACCACGGTTCCTCTGGCAGGTTCATGAATATCTTTCTTCTGGTTCCCTGACCCCCTGCCCCAAACGATCACATCTTCATGGACGTCTCTTGATTGCTCTGCGGCATCCGGAGGCTGTGGTGCGGGTCGCGGGCGCGCGCAGCGCAGTGCGCGCGCTCCGGCCTGCCTGCACATCCGATCATCCGTGAAGGGCGAAAACTTCTCCCAGCTCCTGCACTCAGGAGTCCGAGCAAAAGAGTCCAGTCTGGTGGTGTTGGACCCTCGGTCCATCCAGACCATCCGTTCTACGACGTTCAGACTCAAGACACCCAACCGTGCAACGGGCGTCGACCACCCCCGTTGCACCGCAAGCGGGAACCTGTGGTTCTTCTCCGGGTCCACGCGGGTCCACGCGGTGCTGAAGAAACCGCCAGGGCTCAATGGGTTTCAAGTGCTTTTGGACATGTGGAAACGTCAGGTCTTTATGTTGTTGGAAAACAGCTGTAGTTGCTATTGCTTTTGCAGCGCCCACTGGCAGGGTGGTCAATTACAATTAGTTGCATACTTCGTTGAACAAAAGTGTGTGTGTGTGTGCTTTGGATCAGACCAGCATAGAATCAGACCCCAGCTTTCACTCCATGTCCACGCGGGTGCGAGCTCCGCAATCCGCTGGCTCAAGTCCGGCGTAGCACTCGATGTCGAAAAGCATGGCGGCTGGCGAACTCGCACGTGAACCACTGGTTCTTATGGGCGTAGCACAACCCATCACGCATCACCTCAAAGCAGCACTCCAAATGATGGCCGTTTCACTCATGGCGGCCCATCTCCTCACCCGGCGACCCTTAAAAAAACCAAACCCTCGGAGCTCGTGTGGGCCCATCCTCCTCACCCCACCCTCCGGCCTTTTCGAGCTGACGTATCGTGAAGCTCAAGCTACCGGAGTCTCAGAGCTGGTGATCGAGTCCCTTAAGGACCAAACCCGTGGGCGAGAGAGGACCAAACCCATGAAGCCAGGGCGCCCGGCGCACGGCCAGTGGTGCTGGAAACAAACACTCCGCAAGGAATGGCAAAATCACACAGAATCGCAAACTCCACCAGTGGCACAATCATGCGTCTAAAGAATGGCTAACAATGCTAACACAAGTGGACGCCCTGGGAAACTGGCGAGCTAGGAGAAAAGTTGTAGATTCTATACAGTAGATACCAAGCATCCTGCTATGCCAGAAAACACTTTAAGTCATTCAATATATATAATCACAAATGAAACAAGGCTTCAGCCCGCGACATGGTGCGAGTCTTTGTTCGCCCAGGAGTATGAGCCCTCTGCATTTCATGCAGTGAGGGGGCTCTTGCAAACGCATCTGAGTGCTGTTTGCAACTTGGCCAAGTTCAACACCGGTTCCCCAATGAAGATGCTCAGGATCACGGCCCCATTCTTTTAGATCAGGCTGATGAAAAGGAATGTGGAAAGCTCTCAGCACGACTCGGACAATCAGAAAATTGGCTCAAGAAACAATATACTCCAGGTTCTTCCAACAAAGGTTCAATCAATCCTTACACATCGTCGTGCTTCGTAGGACATTTGCAACCTATACCATATACATCCATATACCAACTGGGAAGGCTGATGATGGCTGTGTTTATGTGATCAGTAGGACTTCATAATATAACATGGCGTAACACCTGAAAATACGCCCAGCAAACAAGGATGATGGCCATATATCTCCCTTTGACGGTCTCCGTGATCTGAGCACGGCGGGGGATCTGGGTCAAACAGAAGGGCCGAAGGGAAATGGAGCTTTGCCCCAAAACGAATGAATCCGGAAAAAGGTTGTATCCTGGAGGTGCGAATTTCCTGGAGATCATGTTCCTGTTTTTGGCCAGTCGTGGATCATCATGGATCATCCTTCCATGTGATTTCACTCCGACTTTGAAGCTTTCACAGAGCTTCTCATATGATCTCATATGCATATGATTGCAGATTGCATATGTCTGTAACCTGCAAATTCACACCCCTCCGATCTCACCAATCTAAATCAGGCGACTCATTGACTTCTAAGAGCCGTGGCGTCTAATGGCATATCTCTCCGTCTCAAACCACCTGGCGGACCGGACCGGACGGTCGAAGGACGGGTCCACCGATCAAACCCGGTGGGTCGGTTTGTGTTGAATGGTTTGCATCGAATGGTTTGTAAGGCAAACGGTGTGTTTGGTGTGGTGTTATTTTGGGGGGGGTGATGACATGTCGATGACATCTGCAGCTGAAAAAATGGATAGAAACAAGATATGGTTTATAGATGATGGTGTGATTATATACCTTTTCCGCAGAATTCAAGCAAAGGGGCACTGCGGAACCAAAGGAGTTCAACGGTGGATGCAAGGAAGCCCTGCCGTGTCCTCACTGGATGACTGCTCGGATGTCCTTCCTGAAACTGGTGTTGGCCACGGGGCCAGTTTGGCGCTCGAAACCGAAACATTGACTTCCCCAGGTCTGACTGGCAGGGATGTGTCAAATGCAATTCTGCCCGCATGGATTGGTCAAACTCTCTATGCAATTCTATGCAAACCATCCGTGTTGTGAAGAGGAAGATACTGATTTCTCTCCACCAGCATCTGCTCCTTCGCGGAGCCACGAGCCGGGCGGACGCTTCGACTGAAGGCACAGCACCGCGCTTCCGAGCCGCGCGCAGCGTCGTTCCTGGGACGAAGCCAGTGGATCCCAACGTTCCACGTAGCGAAGAACTTGCCCCCGTGCGCCCAGTCGTCTTGCCCGTGGTACGAATCACCCAAACGACTGGATTGAAGTGCTACCTTCGCTGATGTCTGGGGCAAATGATCAAGAATTTACGCTTCTGAAGAGAAGCAGTTCAACTATAGGGCCACTACAGTATACTGTATACCGTCCAAATATAGGCATGTTGAGCAAATCCTTTCGAAGTTGCGCAGGCCAAGTGTAGGGTCAGCCCTTCTACCCTCACCGCCTTGTATTCTTGATGAGAAGATCAACGTTTGCACCGCAAGCCATGATGGCTTCAGAGGGACATCGGGTCTGGAAAAAAAAACCCTTCTCTTTAGCCACAGGTTGTAATGCCCACTGAGCCCTGCACGCCGCAGGCTCAATCGGTGCCACCTCAAAAAGGGCCGGATGGAGCGCCGAACTCGGAGCGCGGCCGGGTGTCAGCCCGGCTCCCACAGACGGAGGGCAACAACGAAAAAACGAGACTTCCACAGGCAACAGGGTGAACCATCATCTCCGCATCTCCCTCTAACCAAGCATTCCGCATTCCTCAAGACATGACGTGAAATTAAAAAGATAGACGTCCCGGAAGCGGAGAGCTGCGCGCGTTCTGCAAGGCCTGCTTTGATGATTAGAATGGACACTCACATGCGGTCACTAGATACACATACCTGATCATACCTGGACCATCCAAGGGGTGGTGAATGGACACCCCTTGACCCCTAAGGGGCTGATGGACATCCGAAATCCGTGGTGCTGGCATACACACCTTTGCCAGTCTCACATCTTTCTGGAGAAACCACGGGCACTCCTCAACCTGCCTGCCGACAACCTGCGTCCACAAAACACCACAGAGGCACCATCAACACAACAAAAACGGTCCCAATGTGTCATAACCTTGGTCCCCAAGGACCCCTCCGCCTCCCCCAAAGGCCTAAGGCCTTGCTCCGACCCACACGGAGAACACCAACAGACCCCCCAAAAACCAACGGGACGACCACGGTGGACCGGGCCGGATCTCCCCGGAAGACGGTCCACGGATGGTCCGCGGAAAACGCCGCGCCTTCAACTCGTCCATCTTTGCCTTGTATTCTTGGTCCGAGGCCTCAGTCCAGTCCAGTCACCGGCCGCCCGCCGAGCTCGCTCGGTTTGGGGGGGGCGCCCGCGGCCGCCCCGCCCTTAATAAGGGGAACAAGAGAAGAAAACCCGAGGAGGTTCACCCGGAGTGATCCGTTTCACCACGAAATTGGGTGAGAAAAATTAGGGATCCCAGTCCCCCAAACATGCCTTGTTTCGCCTGAACTTCGTGCGTGTTGGTGGTTCTTCGATGAACTTTTATCTGCTTCTCTTCCTCTTTTCTCCCACCAAAGGGCACCACTCTCCGAACTCCGAACTCACTCACTCTTCTTCGACCGGACCCGCTCGGGCCCCGGGCCATGTCTCCCGCCTCCGAGGGCTCCGAAATGGAGTAGCCATCCTGACCGGAGGACGGTACCAAGTTCCAAGCACCTGGATTTCTGGTTTACTCCAGATTGATCAATTCACAGGTCTTCCAGAAAAGGAAAAAGGACACAAAAAGCAAAAAAACAAAAAGCACTTGTCTGGTTGACATCTGATATGAGACCTCATCGACCCAAGCCTCAGCCGGCCTCACCCTCCTCCCCAACGGCCTCACCCTCACGGAAGCCAGGATTGGGCTCCCGATCGCCCAAGCCTGGTGCACCAGGCGAGCACCGGCGGGAACCGGCGGAAGCAGCGAAGCGGTTGGAGCAGTTGGGTTCCCATGGCCTTGGAAACCTCGAGCGTTGGTCTGGTCCAGTCCAGTCAAGGTTCCAGGCGGAAAGAAAAATAGACATTTAAAAAATAACACATACCAGCACCCTCCAAGGGGTCACCTGGCTGGAAGCCCACACACTACTCAGAGATCTCCAGTGGACACCCCGACAGGAAGGTCCATGTATATATCAATATATCATATGTCTTCGATAAGTTTGGCAGCTTAGTGCACTCCTCAGCAAATCCATATATATATATATATATTATGCAAGTGATGCATGTCATACACGTACAACAAGTGCGTGACACGTGAGTTGGGGTTCGAGGGTGAGAAAGCTTTTAGATTCCTGTCGGTCGCGCTGCCACCGCCATTTCGATTCGGCACTTCATCCAGATCTCCATCTAGGGCACGTCTAGGCTACCGTTGCTACCACTCGCATGGTAGCGGAGCCTCTTTGAGAGGCTCTTGTGAGAAGAGGATCCAGGTGTCAGGGACCGCATAGCCGCCCCTGAAAAGAGTGGAGAGCAATGGAAAAGGTGACAAAGTCCAAAGATGGCATCCCCCTGTGGAATGGTGATGCAAGAAGCTTCCAGGAGTATGAAGAGATGTCGCTATTGTGGGATCAGTCAATTCCATACCACAAGCGCTATCTGAGTGGGCCCAAACTCATCTCCGAACTGTCAGGTTCAGCACGGAAACTCATCGTGGGCAAGCGCCC